CATTTTGTATAAATGTTAAACTCATTTTTAATCTAAATAGCTTTCTCCACTAATTTTTAAAAGAGAGTATTTTTGTTTATTTAAAACAAAGAAAGAAAAGTGAAAAAATACGAATTACATTATTCGTCTCCCTTTTATTTTTTAGTGAATTTGTTGAAATTGATTTATATAAAAAAATATTAGAATTCTTATGAAAAAATAAAAATGGTGGTTTCGTACTTCCAAATTCAGTTTTCAGACTTCGTGCCATATCTTTTGATCTTGTTCTTTGTCCTTTTTTACGCTTATTTTTAACAAATTTTGATCTCCATCGATATAAAACGAATGCAAACGTCCGCTCGTGTTCTATAGACTAATAAATAAAATATCAGTGACAATCGTCGGGCTGTCACGATTTAGGTCCTTTTGTATGGCACATGTGCGGCCCTAGCCAGGTGCTGGACCCTGAGTCTCGTGATATGTGGACAGTGGTCCCGTGCGTAAATATGGCCGCAAAATTCCACTTCCTCTACTAAAATAATTATCCACCAAAAAGCTCAAAAAACCAAAAATGCAACGACCAAATGATTGCAAATATTGAGAAAAAGAAACATTGAAAAAGGTTTTTTGAAAGGAAAACGCCACTCAATGGTGAGACTGCCCTTAATCTTCTGGTATGCAGCAATAAGTACTTGCCTGAACCATCAATGAAAAGATTTGACCACTCACTGAAGTAGTCGATGCACATTTTTGAAACCGAGAAAAAAGCGAAATTTCAATAGAACCGAATCTATTCAAAGTGGTAGGTTTAGCTTCGTTTCAATCTCTTTTGTTAAAAAGCGAAGGTTGGGCTCATGTAAAAAATGTGTGGCTGCCTGTGTTCCATATTTATACATCACTTAATAATAAATCTATTTTTCAATTTAGAATGCACAATTATTGCAACTTATTTTTTTACACTAAATTGAATCTATGTTTTTAAACCGAAAACTTGCTTCCACTATCCTGACGACCTTATCTTCGAATTTTTTGTCCAATCAATTCTATACATGTCTCCGAATAAACAGTTTTTACAAATTGCTGGAAAGATTTCATCCGCACTTATCTGATTTTGTCAATTGTCCATCCTAAAAGCATTCTAAACAGCTGAACCATAAACATCAAGATAAATCTAAAAAACACGTTGACCACACAATTCTACTGATGTATAAATACACAGGGCGACAAAAAAAAGTCATGTCGTGACAACTTGACAAATTTTAAATCATTTTGTTCGTCTCAGTGAGACAAATCAAATGCACTAAAAAAAATTAAAAAGTCCACACACTTTAAACTAAATAATTTTTTTCTAATTTAAATGAATTTAAAATACTTTAACTTTAAAAAACATTACTCAATAACTATTAAGCCGATTTCCTACAAATAAGGACCATTCTAAAGGGATGGCTTTTGCCCTTTAGGATGATATGAAATTTGAAATTGAATATTGGCAAACTTTTCTTCGAACAGTGTTCGAAGAAGTTCGAAGTAAATCGAAATAATCTAAGAAAAACCCTACGAGTATTTTTTTTCATCATTACCATCGTGTAGAGCATCTCTTCATTAGTTGTAATCCAAATTTTCGAAAGAATATACCAAGTAGTTTTCAAGATATGATTTTTTGAAATTAAGGTTTGCTAATCAAGCATTGCTCCATATAGGAGAAATGCATGTTAAAATCTTACTTAAAATTGCATTTTTATAAAAGTATTTGTTTTGAGACTCTTCTTTTGCTTAAAAATGGTCAATTGCACCTTCTTTGTTCTAATTAGAATAAACAAAAACTATTTATTTACTTATAACCAATAAAGAGTACCTGCCTACTAATTAAAGCAAATAAAGAGTTTTTTTTTCTTGTAAAAATGACCACTGATCATTGAGCAAAGAGGATCTAGAAGTTTAAGGCACGAGCCTTAAATATAAAGGCAAATCTTTTTCAAATCAAATCACTTTCCATTCAGATTTCGACTTGTTCACTTTGTTCTAGCTTTCTGAACTTTTTTTGAAAATGTTCTAAGTAAATGCTTTCTTATCACTTTCGAGTGATGTTAAATGCAATAAGTCACCTGATTTATTTTGTTGGTATATTCTAGGATTAGCTTCAGTTAGCTTGTAAGTAGTAGTTGTTGTGATAACAGTTGCACACGAAGCAACTGACTTATTGCATTTAACATCACTCGAAAGTGATGAGAAAGCATTTGCTGAGAACATTTTCAAAAAAATGTTCAGAAAGCTAGAACAAAGTGAACAAGTCGAAATCTGAATGGAAAGTGATTTGATATGAAAAAGATTTGCCCTTATATTTAAGACTCGTGGCTTAAACTTCTAGATCCTCTTTGCTCAATGATCAGTGGTCATTTTTACAACAAAAAAACTCTTTATTTGCTTTAATTTGTACGCAGGTACTCTTTATTTGTTTTAAGTAAAGAAACAGTTTTTGTTTATTCTAATTAGAACAGAGAATTGACCATTTTTAAGCAAAGGAAGAGTATTACAACAAATACTTTTATAAAAATGTAATGTTTAATAAGATTAACATGCATTTCTCCTATATGGCGCAATGCTTGATTAGCAAACCTTAACTTCAAAAAATCACATCTTAAAAACTACTCGGTATATTATTTTAAAAATTTGGATTCTAATTAATAAAAAGATGCTCTACACGATGGTGACAAAGAAAAAAAAATACTCGTAGGGTTTTTCTTAGATTACTTCAATTTACTTCGAACTTCTTCGAACACTGTTCGAAGAAAAGTTTGCCAATATTCAATTTCAAATTTCATATCATTCTAAAGAGCAAGGCCATCCCTTTAAAATGGTCTTTATTTGAAGGAAATCGGCCTCATAGTTATTGAGTAATAACTTTTTAAAGTTAAAGTATTTTAAATTCATCAAAAAATTATTTAGTTCAAAGTGTGTGGACTTTTTGAAATTTTTTTAGTGCATTTGATTTGTCTCACTGAGACGAACAAAATGATATAAAATTTGTCACAACATGACTCTTTTTTGTCGCCTCAAACAAGTTGTAAAGTTCTATTTTAGTATTTTTTTTCCTCTGGGTAAACTAACCAGAATTGTTTAAAATAAAAAAATTGTTCACAATTTCACTTAAATAAAAATACAATGATTCAATTATTTGTTATATTAAGTTTTAAACAGACAAAAAAATTAATTCTTTAAATTACTCAAGGTTCCAGTAACCAGAAGCTGTTCCAGGCACACTTCTTCATTTTTTACCACAGACAGCGGTCAGTAAAACGGCAGGTGGTGGCCTGCACACGGCTACTTAGGGTTATTCGGTCCATTATTGTTACCAAAAGACTGAATGTGACTTACCGCCAAGACGAGAAAAAAGCCGAATTCCGTTGTTATTTCATAATCATGACTTCGAAGAACCGTATTTCAATTTTTTTCAAACAATAACCAAATTAAATCCAGAAACACTAAAAAAACATCAACCTGCAGGCACCTGAAACAGGCATAAAAAAACCATTTACCTGTTAAACCCTGAAAAAATCGTCCAAAAAACATCCACCTCATGTCAAGATTACACGTGCCCTTGCAAAAAATCCCCACAGCTTTTAAAAATAGCCCTAGGAAAAAAAATCCCCTTCGTTTAGGCCATTGTATGTGCAACACCCCTATGTAAATCTAGAAGTATATAACACACGTAAAATGCACCCTGCGTTTTTTTATTATTAGCATCCCCAGTGAGAACGTGCTAAGCACGCGTAAACCGCCCTTTTTTCGCTTTAATAGGGGATAGTTTGATTAGGAAATGGCCATATTGTTAACCACGCGACTGAAATTGCAAGGAAGTGAAAAAATGCACCTGGATTTGTGAATGATTTTTCAATCATCAATCATGAAGGAAAAATGTCAGGTCACGCGTATCACAATATGTATTTTGAACTCTTCTTAAAAACGTCTTAAATGCGATTTAAAAGGAGGGTTTTAAACACGTGTGTGGTTTTTTCGGGAGTCCTCGAATGGTGACTTGCATGAAATTTGTAAAAGAGACTTTCGTAAAACGAACTTTATTGAATTAAAATTGAATTGATTTGTTTTGTTTGTTCCTAAAGTTTAAATTTTCCGGTTCTGAGATGGAAAAATTTTGACTTGATGGATATTCAGTACGGTAATTGCGAAGAGAATCTTGATGAATTGCGAATATTGAAGTTGTGGGTGATAATTGAACAGAGTCATTCTCCCAATCTGATTCATTCCTTCGAGGATTTAACACTCTTCTTATACCCTAAAAAACAAAATAAGGTACAAAAAAATCATTTGAATTATACCATTTCTCTTATTCCAACTATGCATTTAATCATTGCAATTAGAATCACTGGCAAAATAATAAACAAAATTATTAAAGATAGGATTATTATGTCGTGGTTATTTTCGATCTCTTGGAATTTTAGGTAAAGAGAGGCGGCTGAAAATACCTGGAAACAATGTCAATGCACGAGTGCTCAATTCAGTGGCGTAACAGTGTGAAAATGAGCCCTTAGTAAAAAAGTTATAGATATTTAGTCTTTTTTATTTTTTTATTTTTTGTGAAGAAATACAGGGTGCGTCAGAACTCGCGTCCTAGAGAATGTAAAGTAAGATACCAGGAACATGGAAAAAATGTTAAAAAAATTCTATCTATAAAATTTCGAATTTATGAGAGTTTAGATTTTGCACTTTGACTCTATTTATTTCTGTTGGAAAAAGAATTTTCCAAGTTCTTTTGCTACAGGCTATTAGAAAAGAAAGCTGTATCCTAAATTTATTGTTATTTGTGGCTTTTATTGACAAAAATTTGTACTTTTACTAAATAATTATAAAAATAACTTAAACAACAAGATCATCAGTGTCATTAAATAGACATAAAAAAGTCAAATTTCAAAAAATAAATGTCCAAATTTTTTGACAGATAGAATTTTTTCCATTTTCCTGGTATTTATCTTACTTGATTTTTTTCTCTAAGGCGCGAGTTCTGACACACGCTGTACAGTGTTTGTACTGTTTTTTACGTAAAATGTACAATTTTTGCATTCTTTTTGTTTCCAAGTTTCAAAATTAAATACATAAATCAACATTTTTCGCTACGTATTTAGGTATGTTTGCGTTAATAATAATCCACAACATACAGTTTTATTTTTTAAGAATCGTTAAGATACTTTTAGGGTACTTAATTCTTTTAATTGGAATAGAATCTCGACATTGTAATATTTTGTTGAATTCTTTTCGTCGTTAATTACAAACACATCATCAATTTTATAAAATTGTTAATAACAATAACACATTTTAAAACTGTTTTTTAACAATTTATTATTGATGCTAAGGGCCCCCTTGATAGTTACGCCACTGGCTTAATCAAAAAAGTCCACTTACAGAAAACACTGCTGGTAACAACAACCACGTAATCTGAAAAAAATAATTAGGAACAAATCCTAACATAAATTCAATATCGTCGCAAAAATTTCGAAAACCATAAAAATATGACACTGATAACAGTTCAAAAGTGAGAATTATAAGTAAAGCGGTTGCAATAAAGTTTTTATTAATTGACATAATAATAGCAAAACCCCACTACAAATAATCAAAAAATAAAAAAAAAATGTTAAAATATTTTTTACCTTGAAATCACCAACAAGAGTCGAACAAATGCACAGAAAGGAACAAGTCATTATTATAACTATTTTACGTCTTCTTTTATCGATTAGAACATAACTACTTATGTACAGAAGCAAAATTTGGACATATTCTAGCTGAAAGACTATGAATTATAATATTTCGTGTCGCTTTACTTACCAAAGAGTATAAACAGCTACAAAATAACACAAGGTAGTAAATAACCACAGTAAAGTTACTCGCACCTTTACCCAACATATTGAATAGAGGCGTGTATAAAACATGAACGTGAAGTTCTAAAAAATGTGTTCAAATTTCTTTACAAATTTACAATGTTACACCTTCGTGTTTTTCCGGTAATGTTTTTTTGTTTTGACCAACTAAAATTCCTGCAGAACTGAAGAAAATAATCCCTGACAATAAAGTGCAAATGAAAGTGACCACATTTATCATTAGAGTGTCACAAGGTGACCAGTATTTCAGTTTAGAAATAGACCATATTGTAATCAAAGGACCTGCTCCTACACCAAGACTTACAACACTTTGTTCCAATGGATAAATCCAAGTCTGGAAAAGTATTTCAAAAATTGTAAATACTCAAAATTGATTTTTACACGGATCTGGAGGATATCATTCGTTGTTGGAATAAACATTCGACTCAGACCTGTAAAATTTCCATCCTTTGAATCCATTATTAAACCAACAGTGGTGGCGTATATTAGCACCAAAATAATTGAAAGGCTGTGTATTATTACAACCTGAAAATGCATTTTTGAGAGGAAGAATAATTAAGTTAAGTTGGCACCCAATGATGTCGCAGAATACTGAACCAAGTGACAATTAAAATTATTAACCAAATAAAAACGAGAAGTACTGCGTTCCGCCAATTATAGTAATGTGCGTCTGCGTCCATATACCTTTCAACATAATTGCTAAAAAATAAAATTTAAAATTGAGCAATTTTGTTTAAATTCCTTACTAAAAGAAAATAAATTCGGGAGAGTGAGTGAAGTTGGTATAGTTGGTTTTACAACCGTACATTTTTATAGGGTCTGAACAGTACGAATGAGGCATTTTGTTATAAAATCCGGTAAAAACGTATACTAAAGAGTATACGCAAATCATACTGTACAAAAAAGTCGCTATTATGCAATAAAATGCCATCGAAAGTGTTATTCCTGAAACAGTTAATTGATAAGAGAAAGATAGTTAACGAAGATTTAAACACCTTCCATAATGGGGCAAAGGGTGAAAAGTTTAGCAAAACCTTTCATAAAATACTGACTGAGACTAACTTCAAAAACTAGCAATGACACTCCAATTATCCAACTGTACACAATATACAAATACATGTATGTTGCTAAAAATTGAAATAAAGTGCAAAAATTATGAGTGTATTGATACCATTTCCGTAAATAAACGACTGTTGTGGAAACCTCCATATATTAGCTGGGCCTAAACAAAAACTCAAAATTCGGAAAAAGAATTTCGCTCTTCGTTTCCAATTTGCTTCATTATCGTTCGCGCTCTGCAAAATTGTGTTTACTTATTTATAAATAATTGAGAAAACTTTGTTATACGAAGAAGGAAGCAGCTGTGGAAAAAACATCGGACGGGCTGGGCTACAAAGTGTTTTAAAAATTATCGATGTTTTAGAAAAATTAATCACATTACGACAATATCCCTCGGTTTCAGGATCGTAACATGAGATCCCATTTGTGACGTTGCCACGTCGGGATAGCGAAACATTCCATGGGACATACTCCCATAATCCGGGATCATTTTGCAAATTTCTGAACAACTTTCAAAAATGACACTTGCGTAACAACACTACGCGATTTCATAATTACTATGTTACTTTAATGAATATTTTTTATAAACAAAAGACTAATTTTACTATTTAATTAATTTATTTAGTTAATTCATGTGATTTGGCTCAATTTGAAGTTGGGAATCAACCACCTCAATCAAAGTATTTTTCAACCAAACTGACTTCAAAAAGAGTTTTCTTCCAAAATAAAGCAATTTGAGCTATTTTCAATCCAATTTTGTTCGATTTTAATAGAGAATTAATTATAAATTAATGTATTGTATAAAATAATTGCTTCTATCTTAATTTTAGGCTGAAATAAAGCAATTATTTGAAAAAGTATTTTTCAACCAAATACTGACTTCAATAAGAGTTTTCTTCCAAAATAAAGGAATTTGAGTTATTTTCAATCCAATTTTGTTCGATTTTAATACAGAATTAATTATAAATTAATGTATTGTATAAAATAATTGCTTCTATCTTAATTTTAGGCTGAAATAAAGCAATTTGTGATATGTTCAATCGATTTGGCTCAATTTTAAGTTGGGAATCAACCTGAATCAAAGTATTTCAACCAAATACTGGATTCAATAAGAGTTTTCTTCCAAAATAAAGCAATTTGAGCTATTTTCAATCCAATTTTGCTCGATTTCAATACAGAATTATTTCGAAATTAATGTATTTTATAAAAATAATTGCTTCAATCTTAATTTTAGGCTGAAATAAAGCAATTTGTGATATTTTCAATCAATTTTCCTCAATCTTAGGCCGGGAATCAAACTGGATCAAAGTATTTCAACAAAATACTAGCTTGAATAAGAGTTTTCTTCTAAAATAAATCAATTTGAGCTATTTTCAATTCAATTTTTCTCGATTTTAATACAGAATTAATTCGAAATTAATGTATTTTGTAAAAATAATTTCTTTAATCCGAATTTTAGCGGTTTCGCTTTATTTTAAGCCGGAAATTAACCTGAATCAAAATATTTCAACACACTAATGTTTTTTTAAAAACAATTTGAGCTATTTTCAATCCAATTTTGCTCGATTTTATTACAGAATTAATTCAAAATTAATGTTTTTTATTAAAATAATTGCTTTAATTTTAATTTTAGGCAGAAATAAAGCAATTTGAGCTATTTTTAATTAAATTTTGGTCGATTTTAATACAGAATTAATTCGAAATTAATGTATTTTATAAAAAATAATTGCTTGAATCCTAATTTTAGGCTGAAATAAAGCAGTTTTAATTACTCAAATTTTTACTTTTTGTAAAAATAATAATAGTGATTTGTAAATTTGTATGTAAAACAAGACACAAGTTTTGTAAATCACAAATATGAAGTCTGTTTTCAGAAATAATGGCCAAGGAAGATGTATGTAAGTATAAAAAAAAACAACTTATAGTAAATACAAAACTTTTTTTAATGGTATGCAACCAACATTACACACGTGCAAAATTTACTGAATATTTTGTCCTTACGGTCAATTTTAAATAACGTATGAGTTCTGAAAAGTACTTTTTTATAGACTATTTTGTAAATTTTACGGTCGTTTTCGGAAAAAACAAAAGGTTTTTATTAGTTACCGCCAAAATTTAAAATAAACCCTTACAAGGTCTGTCAATTAACAGATGACACTGATGACAGCTACGTTCAAACAAACATAACCTGTAATAAATATTTTATGTTTTAATTGTCAGTTTTTAATTTAAACCGAAAATGTCTAAAGATTCGCATATTGATAGAGACTTAGACTTGTCTAACGCAACCCGTGGCGTGTGGTTGGTTAAAGTTCCAAAATACGTGGCAAACAGATGGGAGAAAGCCCCCAGTGATATGGAAGTTGGCAAATTAAAAATTACAAAGTAAGACTCAAACCATTAAAACGTGACTTTATTTGGATTTTCAAAGGAATGGAACACCCCCACAAGTCTCATTAACGTTGTCTTCAGCAATTTTAAATTTGAATGAACCAGGAGAGGAAAGTATTCCGAAGGACCACCGTTTGGACGTTTCAAAAGTAACACAGCAGACTTTAGGAGTGTTTTCGCATGTGATACGTAAGGCGAAATTAATTGGATAATTGGATCAAAATTAACCGTAAATTATAGCCACACAAACCGATGCTGTTGTGCCTGAAACTGAAAAGTTATACATGGAGGGCAAAATTGTCCAAAAACTTGAATGCAGGCCCTATGCCGATAACTGCTACATGAAACTTAAATTGGAATCAATCAGAAAAGCGTCATTACCGACGCGAAAAGTTAAACAACTTGATAGAGTTGTTACATCTTATAAACCAGTCTCAGATCACAAAAATAATGTAAACACGTTAAGTGAACTTGTAATGAATTTTAATTGTTTTTTTTTAGATTGAGTACATGGAGAGAAAGAAAGCTGAAGGTAAAAAGGCTCGTGATGATAAAGACGCCGTTTTGGAAATGTTATTCGCCGCATTTGAAAAGCATCAATATTACAATATTAGGGATTTAGTAAAGATTACTAAACAACCAATTACGTATTTAAAAGAAATCCTCAAGGAAGTGTGTAATTACAATTTGAAGAATCCTCATAAAAATATGTGGGAATTGAAACCTGAGTATAGGCATTACAAACAACCTGAAGTGGCTGATGACAAGAAGGACTCGCAATCAGATGATGATTGATGAGTTTATTGTAAAAATGCATGAACGTAAATAAATACAATTTTAAGTTTTTTCTTTCTCTTTGAGGTTACAACACTGACTAGGGGGCACAGCCCAGTTATAAAAATAATGGCGTCTTTTTATACTGGTTGCACTACATAAATTATTAGTTGTGATGATGTTATCGTACATTTTCTGCATTTCTTCCTTTGTTATGTTATGAGTGATCAAGTAGAAGTTTTGGCAACCTCTTGAAGTCCACTCAGTATCAAATCTTATGTCATGGAGTCTCAAAATATTTGTGACAGGGGCCAACCAACTCCCTACACTCACATCTTCAGAGTTATACTGTCTGAAATTACAAATAAATTCTCTATTTCTTATTTTTAAAAGAAATACCTAAAATTATCTCGATTCTGAGCAATAAATGATATAAGTTTTCTTGATAAAATATACCCTCCTCCAAGGGCATAAGGTACATATCTATCACAAGATATCCAGTTGGGTTCCTTCCACTTCCCTGCAGTTTTTACTTTGGCGCTCCCATGGAAGTAACCCCAGTACAACTCCAATTCGTTTTTGGTGCCATCTTTGTTTATTTGCACGTTTGACCGAATAAATGGGGACGCATCATTTTCAGCCAATGATTTGACGTATTTCAAATCAGATTTGAGATAAATTAGTTCCACATTTGCAATCTCTGTTGATAGTTTATCAAGCCGCACAAAACTATCATCGTCACACTTGAGGACATATCTGAACCCCAATCCATAGTCAAATTGCTCATCCAACCACTCAAAACTTTTCAACACTTTCATTGTAAGATTCTGGTAACTATCATACATAGGAAGAATTAAAATATCACTAAACTGAGATTGTTCAGTACTTAAATGTAAAATATCATCAACAGACAAACCTAAACTTCCAATGACAAAGTAATGTTTCATTTTAAATTTAATATTCTCCTCATCTTCAGGGTTCGTATCCACGAGTTGAAGCCAAGTTTGGCGAATCACATTTCGCCTGTCCATATTTCTGGGGGCTGAGAGAATTAAAATAATGAGGTCCGGATTTTTTAACTTTGAGTTTCTCATGATGTTGTATTCCCTATCTGAATCTTCAATTTTACAAGTCTTGTCGATGGGGGTTAGGTTTATTGTTAACATACAACCGAACAAAAATGAGAAAACCATCAAAATTGAAGTTTTGTAATATTTTAGCTTGCTCACTTTTCTTCTCATGGTTTCAAACATAGTTTTTACAAAAATCGAATGTTTTTGTTTGCATTGTGACAAGCACAGGTGACAAGTGACAGATACAAAAAAAAACCTAGCTAATCAAGCTTGCCAATACAGAAAAAACTATAAAACATTTAAATTTGTTCAACTTGGTTTGAAAAAGGTTTAATAAAACAACATTTCAAGTAACACTTGTTTAAATCGACATAAAAATATTCACATAACTTAGCTAATAGTAAAATAACTTACAAAAAAGTAGCACAATTCTTATTAAAGTTGAACAAATGTGAGAACACAAAACCAATTAAATAATCAAGGTCTTGTCTGCATCCCAATGTGGGGTTTTAGAATGCATGTTCATTGGAGGAGTATTTTCACATTGAACGCCAATTCTTCTCGGATTATCCTTTAAAACTGGAATTCTACTCTCAGACTTCCTTGGTTTATCACTGACTCTTAATTTACTTGCCGCCTTTTTATTGACTTCATTACCATTTCTGACACTCAGAGGCGTGCGATTATTTTCCCTGACTTTAGCCAGTCTCGGAGTGAGTTTGTTGTCATCCTCATTCTCATCTTCATAAATCAAGTTTGTAAGTTTTTTATCAAAATCTTTCACTTGAGCTGTGACATTAATTTCTTTTTCTTCTGTAAGTTTTTCATCAAGTTCTTTCGGTTCTGCTTCTTCGTTTAACTTATCAGGAATCCAGTTGTTTGTGGAGTCCACTTGTAAATTCTCCATTTGACTTTTTAACTTGTTGGAGGGCAAGTCTTCAGGTATCTCAACTGGCAAGCTTGCATTTAAGTTAGCCTTAGCTTGGACACTGTCCAAGTCAGTCTCTGTAAAATCAATATTAGTTTCAAGAAGCCCCACAACAGACTTTCTCTTGTTATAATTGGTAACTAATGAAACTGGACTAGTGCTCAGAAGTTTAGGTGGAACAATAATCGATTTTTTTTCAACTGCCTTAGGTGTTGTTTGAATCTCAAACTTGCGGACGTTATCTAAATTTTTGTTTTTCAATAATTTTGGTTGTTTCTCCTTTGTGACAGCCCCCACAATTATGGGAGTTCTATTAAATTCGACAGTTGGGGACCGCGGATCAATTCCTAGGACTAGATTTACAGTTTCGTTGGTGTCCTGAGTTGCATTTTCGATTATGTTTGGCGAGTTTTCAATAGTTTCACCCCTCAGAATTAGCTAGAAACATTGTGCAATCAACATATAATATTAGGTGGATTTCTCTCACTTCTAGAGGTGTTCTGGCAATATTAGCACTCGGTGATCTCGGATCCAAAGGTGTTAGAATCGGAGTAGACGGCGTGCTCACATTTTGAGAATCCTCTTGGTGGTCTTCCTCCTGATTTGAAGGTTGTTCAATTTTGCTTTCTTGACCACCCATTGTTCTAGAAAATAAATCGTTTTATTGCCTTCAAATATTTATACAATTTACCTTTTCGTATTAGGAATAAATAGAATAATAATCACTGGAGTCGTTTTTTCAAAACAACAAGAACACCAACAAGAAAACGGGCATTTAAATTCAAGTTGAACAAAACAAAAACCGTTAGAGAATTTTGCTGCCAACATACCGGCACAAAAATCACTTCGAAAAAAAGAATTTAATTCTTATGAATTTTATTAAATTAGTCGATTTTCCATGATTTTGATATTATTTTGTTATACCAACAAATTACAAATAAATAAAATGCATCTAAAAATTGTAAATGATTTATTTAATTTGGAGTCATGTGACACAGATTATCTGCTGGTTGTAAACGGGTAATCTGTGCATGTGACGTTAAATGTTTTTTTTTTAATTCAAAAGTGCGCGCCATTAACGTTACAATAAAAAAATGATATTTTATTTAGAAGTAAACTTTAACTAAAAATAACAAATATAAATAATGTTCCAAAAATTGTCTTGCATTTCATAGCCGTAATTAAAAATGTCCGTTAAAATACTAAAATTTTCAAAACTTGCAACATCATACTCGATGAAAATTTTTCTGTACATTTGTAATTGTACCATAGTGAACATAATGGCATTATTTATAACATTGCTAAAAAATTTACCAAACAAAGCAATTTTGTTTAATTCGGAATGTTCGGTTTCTTCTAAATATCCAGTTTTTTTGAACGGTGACTGAAATATTTCGTACATTATTTTTTTTATTTACTTTTGTTTAATACTGACCTGTATTAAAATAAATGCAAGCGAAGAGTAAAACAAACGAAGCCATGTTTGCAGTCTCATGAGTAAAAACAGTTTTTAATTAAATGAGACTGGGTGTAGGATTCAAAGACACCCACAATACTATTCAAAGAAAAATCTTCATCAAAATTTCATTTTATTATCACACTATTATACATTTAGGTGCGCAATGTTTTAAGAATATTATTTAAAATATCAATACTTTCCAAATGCAGAGGATTATTTTTATCCAACTGCTGGGACAGATTCAACACACTCGAACTAAACATTTTTAATTCCGCAGTGTTACTCTGTAACCAAATCCTTGGCAAAATCAAACTAATTAAACTAACTTTAGACACCGCATCAGTCAATAAACAAAACTTTACAGCACTCAGCAAATATCTATTCAATAATGAATTCAACGCCAATTCTTTGAGTGTATTATCGTTGAGCACACCTTGCCAACTCGTAATATTCTTCAACAATTTCAACCCGCTAGCAAACTGTCTTTGAAAAAAGGGCGACTTGCTTTCAATCAATTTCGGCGTGAGCGGAATAAAAACATCATGTTCAAGGGCACACTTCATTTTGTGCAAAATCGCGTTGAATAAATTATTCAACGCTTTACTCGCCGGGCCTAAAGTTGGAAACTTGCGAACGTAGCGAGTGATAATTCCGACCAGTTTCAAAGTCTGGGAACTGGACAAAGGGTCCCAACACCGGTCCACCAACTGTGTCAATTTTGGAATAATTATTTTCTCGACTATAGTTGGCAGGAGGTTAATATCGGGATCTTGGGCAAGAGTGGCCTCACTCTCGTCATCGTGTAACCCATACAAGGCCAAGGTTCGGTACCATTCGAGCCTTTCTATGTCCAAAGAGTCGTTCAAAGGGTCCCAAAAGATCAAATCGAGCCTCACGAGGGGGCTCACGACTTTAGGGAGACACAAAGTGGCATAAGCCTCGTTGTATGCCGCCAAATCGGTCTCTCGCCACTCCTCAAACTTGATCAGAATATTCGCAACAGAGGAGTAGTCCTCCACCACGTCCTCGAAAACCTCCTGGATTTCGCCCTCGAGTTGCTCGCGTTCTTTGTCAAAATTGAGCATGTCTTGTTGGGAGATTTCATCATCGCTTGACATGCCTTCAACGTGTTTTGGTTGCCCCCCTATTTCCCTCGCCCTGCGTCTCCTAGTCCGTCTACCCTCCCTCTCAGCGGCCCTCCTGATCTTCTCTTCATCTTCTGTAACTTTCTTCATTCCGGCTTTATTCGTAGCTTCCTCGGCTTGGTCTCGCACATCTTGTCTTCGTCGTTCAATCAACCATTCCGAGCGTTTGGCCAATTGGTCCATAGCCCTCTGTTCCAAACTCGCAATCACCCCGACTTTCTCATCAAGACACTCAACCAAATCGGTGATGTACCCTCGAAGCTCTTGATAAAACTTGAATCTTTCAGCTGCGACCGGTGCTTTCGTTTTCAACTCATCCAATTCCTTGCTAATTTGCTCAATATCTTGCTGATTCTGTTGCAATTTCTTGATGTTATTCTCGCGTGACTCGCACACGGATTGGTAGTGTTCTCGTAGTTTATCTGCGATCATTTGTGGAGTCCGGGGGATTCCCGGATCGATAGCTTGTGTGGGGGCTGTCACTGTTGTAATTTCGGGTTGGTATTCGGTGTATAAGAGTTCAGAGGTCAGGGCAGAGGCCCCTGTGACCCCCTTCCTGATCTGCTGGTGCTCCCACTCGTCCACTTCTTGATCCGACTCTTGCGCCGCTAAAAACTGTTCCCGTCTTCGTTCTTGGTCTCTCAATGCCAAATTCACATCCATGTCAATCCTCTCATCGTCGCTCCCATCATTATCATCTTCCCTCATTAATCTTCCCTTATCTTCAGGCTCTTCTTCCTCCACTGGGATGTAATCCCCCATTTCCCGCGCTCGTTGGCGACGTTTTCGAGCAGCATGAATCATAGCTGCATCAGGGATCGCCCCCGACTCTAAAACCTTCTTAAAATTATCCGGTTTTGAAAATTTGTGGGTGGTTGGGGCTTCATCCTCATCAGATAAGTCGTCTTTACCAGCACATAACGCATCACGGCCGCTCAAAATCAAAGGTGGGGCCGATTTGTGGTTTACTACTAGGACTAAATCATCGGTTACAATCTCTGTCTTAACTTTGGATTTGATCTCCTTTTCGGGCTTTGTCTCTTTTTTCTTTTGGCGTTCTTTTTCAAACATTTTCATGACTTTTTTGCTGTGCGACGATTTTTTCACTTGGAATACTTCACCTTCCTCCTCTGTTTCAAAGCTGAGAAGGGGCTGTTTCGGTTTGTGTTTGGATTTGCTCTCTTTCTTCTTGTGTTCGCGGTCTTGAGGAGGCTGCTCCTCCACTTCCATGGGTTCGTCTTCTTCATCATCGTTTTCGGTGAACACGCGGCGCTGGATTGTCTTTTTCGGTTTACGGAATAAAGACATCCTTTTAAAAATTATTTAACACGATTTGGAACTTTATGTAAAAGTTTGGTTATGTTAATTTTCTGTTAAGATGACGTTTTGTTGACGTTTTCAAACATAACCTCTTTTCAGGTTTACAAATTATTATAAATCTTATAATTTTATAGAATTAGAAATAAATGATCCCTAATAAATTGGCCTAAATTAGTGTAAATTCTGCGGTTTTATGAAACTCAATAATTCATAGTGTGTTAAAATTGATTGCCTATATCTAGAGATGGTTTAAAACTGGATGTCCTTTACCTTTGGATCGTTAAAGAAAAAGTGGGGGCACCTCGTCGGTGATACAACTTTTGGGGGTCATTCGATAGCGTTAGTAGTTTGTATACCCGTTACATTTTTACTCCAGTAGACAGATTTTGTAGTAACTGCTTTTGAAAAATGGCTAATGCAAAACCATCAAATAAACCAAAAAAAGAAATTTCTGGCATAGCTAAAACGTATTTAATTGGATATAATTTCATAGAAACTATAGGGTAAGTGCTTAAAAATGAGTTAATGTAGTTTTAAGTATCTCATTAATTTCAAAAATGTTCCATTAACAAATTGGAATATTTTTTTTGTAAAATAATTAAATGTACACAAAAACTAATCAGACAATCATAATTAATTAATAAAAGACGTTTATTTATCGGTCTTCATTGTAATAAGCCTGTTTTTTTAATTAAAAAATATGTTATTAAAACGGAAACGTTTGAGGATCGTAATTTTTATTTAATTTTTTTGTTGAACTTTCCACTTATGTGTCTTATGTGATTCAGCCTATTGTGTATTAAAATTTTGTCGATTCATAAATTTATTCCGATGTAAACATACCTGTTTGAACTTTAACCCATCAGCCGATTATTTCCTTTGATTGAATTCTGCTCAACTTTTTTTTTTCAATTACAATAAGAATTTTTATGTGGTAAATTATCCTTCAAACTTGCGTTTGTTTCAGGTGGTCCTACATTTTATACCTCCTCGTTAATTATCATTTATCGTCTTCAAAAACCCAGTCTCTCTATGACATGGTAAAATGGTCCCTAATTATTTTTCAAAACGCGGCCGTTTTAGAAGTGGTGCACACCCTAATTCGCATAGTACCATCAAACCCCCTTATTACTGCCATGCAAGTTGCTTCAAGAGTGATTGTAGTTTGTGGAGTAATTTTAGCAACGAAAGCAGGTCGAGAGACAATTGGTCTACATTTAGCCCTTGCTGCATGGTCCATAACAGAAATAATCCGATATGGAAATTACACTTTAAATTTAACTGGGGGTGTACCACATATTGTGACGTGGCTGAGGTAAGATTTGTTTTCAAACAATATGTTTTCCGGTTGTGAACACAAACGCCTGCTGTTACTGATAAAAGTTGCAGTGTGTTGGGAATAACAGTTTAGTTTTTGCGTTCAATTATTTACCTTTGATGTATGTAGATGTAAACCATGCACGCAAAAAATTAAAAACATTTGTTTTCAATGATGTTACATGAAATTGCAAGCTAAACAATTAAAATAGAATCACCTTTATCACTATGCAGTAATTATTAATGTCGTAATCAATATTTAGACTTGCTAAGTAAAATGTCTTCAAAACGGTTTGTTTTTTTAATTAAAAACACTTTAAAGTAACGCTTTGTCCTTGCTTTAATGTTTTTAGGCTCTAATTTTATTCTTTACCATTTTAGATATACAACATTTATTATTCTCTATCCAATTGGAGTAACTGGCGAGCTTTTGTGCATCTATGCTGCACAGAAAGAAGTAGGAGAGAAGAAGATTTTTACAATTGAAATGCCAAACGCACTGAATTTCACGTTCGACTATCAGAAAGTTCTTTGGGGTTTAATGTTCCTTTACATCCCATGTATGTCACTTTTCAGGTTGTTTGTCAACATTTAATTTTTCATTTTCAGTGTTTCCGAAATTATACATGCATATGTGGACATTGAGGAGAAAAGTTTTGGGTGGTGGTCAGCAAAAGAAAGATAAATGAGATGATCTTTTGATTATTTATCAACTTTTTATAAGACTTTTTATTTAAAAAATATTTGGTGAAAGGTTGTGTTATTTCACTTACAAAAGAATTAAACTTTGTTATCTAAAGTTCGTTGTATTTTCCTTGAGTGTCTACTTCTTGATTCATTGAGTGCCTTTTCTAACTCGTGTGCAATGTGTTGCAAATTAGTGACGTCAGTTTGTAGCAAATGATGCTCTTTGTGGTATCCACTACCATCATCTTTTAATGTTTTTAAAGCTAAATCTAGAGTTATCAAGGGCACAACTTGATGATGTAGACTTCTACTAGACACCTAGAATCTTGCAATGACTATACCAACTTTATACAAAATTAATTAGTACCTGAACTTCAAACCTCCACTCTAAATTATCATAATGGGGTTCATTGACGGTGAGTTTATTTAAAATTTGCGTTATTTCCGCCTTTTTTGATTCGTAAAATTTGTGGAGGATGTTTTCTTGTTCAGGAGAGAACCCTAGAGTCAAAATTGAATCTCTAAAATCGGCTTCACTTAACTGAAAACAAAATTAATGCCTGGTGGAAACTAGAGATAATTTTGCACCTTATGTTTACAACTCAGTAGAAGCAAATTGACCAAACCGTACACACAATTTTGTACTGCATCCACTTCTACTGATAATTTTTCAGCTGCAGCTGCGTAAAATTTCAAGTTGGGGCCGTTTTGGAGGAAATCTATTGCTAGTTTGCAAAAATCAATCAGCACTGAAAAAAAATGAGTAATCAAAAATGCAAAAACTTAATTCACATACCTTGCACTGATTGGTTCGTTAAAAGGCTCAAGTGTTCTTTGTGGTCATTTCGTAAAGAAATTAACATTTTTCTGCATTTATTACTTTTTCCAAAAATGTAACCTTACTTTTTTTGCATTTGTCAAGTAAATAAGTAATGCGCATGTGCAGTAACGCCGAACGTTGTGAAACACTCTGTTTTGTTGGTTGCATAAAACTTCAGAAACGAAACACCCAATTTTTTAATAACAGAAAAAGGCGTTAAATTTATTGCAATTTTTCAGTAAAATACTAAATACCAATAGTAAAGAATATTCTTGCGCAGGGACCATACATTGTTATATAACCAAGACTGAAAGTAAGTACCTAAATAGGTTCCCTAAATGTTATTTTACTTGTTTTGATTAAAATTACTGAACGTTTATTTTTACTGCGCAAATTGGCGTTAGATACTGTGTATATACTATCTTTTTACTGTGGACTTTTATACTGAGCAAATTATTATTATATTAATAATTTCTAGTCTTTTACCATGAAAAAATTAATAAATACTGATCAGTGATTTTCATTTTAATATCAAAATCGAACTAATGAGCACATTATTACTGGTACCTAAAATCTTTTACTATAAGCGATATTCAAGTTCAAAATCTTTACGACTATCAAATGCATACAAATCGAAAAAATTGGTACTTAGAATTTTTAGATAAAATTTACTAAATGTTAAATCATTTATTTACTCAATCAAGTATACCATAATTTTTTTGTTGATGAATAGAAGAGAAATTATGAGCGAACAGTAAGTGTATATTTCTACTACGAATGTTGTGTTGAAAATAGGACCAATGGGAGTTTAGAGTTGAAGGGAAGTGCAATGAACAATAAATGTACACACATTGTCGTGTAATTTATTAAACGAGGAAAACAAATAAAATGCACATAGAAATTATACTTTTATTTTAATATATATAGATATATTTCAAAACTCCAGTAATGTACAAAAAATATCTGTGTAATTAAATAATGTTTTGTCTGTCAATTTGTTCATTTCTTTTAATTTAGTGGCGGGGTGTAATTGACAATAATCAAGTATGAATGCTATTACTAATAAGGTCTAGGAACGTCCCTAGCAACAGTAACATGGCTTGGATGCCTATCACAATGTCCAACAAAACGAGCTCTCCAAATAACGTATTTTAAATTATGTATAAAATATTAACAGTTACTATGTTATTATTTTAAAATTCACTTTTATCTTTTTTTATGTTTTTTGGTAATGCGTAGCTTGAACACTCACTGAAAGGAAGACAACACTAAACACATCCAAAATAATGAATAACAGCAGGGTAGGTGCTGCAGCACAGCCGCCGCTCAATTACGTAATCATAATCAAAAATTTAAACAAGTCCAATAATAAAATATAATTATGTATAATTGTTATTTATATATAATATTGTATATATAAATATAAACAAAGTCCTCCTATTTATTTACAATTGCACTCAAGCCCTCTGCGCCTTCCCTCGCTCCGCACTACCCTAACGAAACGAACAAGCAACGTAGTAATGCACTTGATACAGCTAACCTGTCTAAATTACAGCCTGCGGTACTGAACCGATGAGGTACCTAGTAGTATATATCTCTATTATGTACACGCGGTGGTCACTCGGACAGCAGCTTCTGCAGCAGCGACGACGACTTGTTACCGTGATCACCTGGCCGCGCCTCCTCCATAGTACTCTGTAATCAACCAACAATCAACCCACATTCGACTCAAATCGAAAGAAAAGGACCCCATGTAGAAACACACACATTTCTACGAGGGCCCAGGACGCTATTCGACATGCAAGCGGTTAGTAACAGAGCAAGCGGGACAAGCGTGTCAAAGGAAAGGTCATTGCTTGCTTGGCTTACCCTGGAGGTCGCTGGCTGCGGAGACATTGAGCCCACATCTGAACCAATCGTACCCCAAAGTTTCGGGCTATCACTCGCACCTGCACGCAACAATGATGTCATTGTACGCACTCCCTGCAGGAGTACCTTTGCCGCCTTGGATGCCACACTTCAATTCCATACTTTGTCTAGTCAATCCAAAGCGACGCAAGTACTCACTGCCCCTTATATATGTTTAGTAGTACAAAAACACACATGGAGGGGGAGTATAATACAGGGAAATGGTATGTATGGCACAAAGAGCGAGATTTATGCAAGAACACCACTTCCCTGTATGTTTCACACAAGGATGTGTTAACGTCCTTAACATAACTGTACAAAAATGGGGGCCCATCGGGAACTATCAAATATTTTTTGTACGGAAATTTTTCTCTTGCGAAAATCACAGGTCGAATCGGTTAAAGCAAAAGTTTAAGTGGTTGTTAGTTTAGGGATAATAAAAGCAAAGAAAACTTTATCCATTTATTTATTCAAAATAAACTACCTAACGAAGATTTATTTTTTACTCATTTAGAATGAACACAATTTTTAAGGCCTCGTCACTTGCATCTGTGATTTTTGCACGAACTGTATTCCTAAAAAGAGTAAGGATTCATAAATCAAATCAACAACAACCTTTTTAAGATCTTTGTAAAAGATATAAACACAATTTATTATCAATCATTCACAAAGTTCCAATTAATAAAAATTGCCTGATTTGTTTTATTTTTTGAAAAAGTGTTAGTAAAAATTCAACATCACTTCATGCATGAATTTCAAAGCTGCCTATAGTTTACAAGTTAAGAAGGAATATAGACAAAAGAATTTAAAAAAGTGGTAAGAAAATTCACGATTTAAGCAAATGTTTGAATGGACAACCAAATATTTATGTGCTAACTGTGTGTAATGAAAATGCACTTGAATGCTTATCTGTTTCCAGTCAAGTAAGTCGGCACTGGAGCGTTGTTTATGTTTATAATGGCTATTACGACGAAAAATATAAAATAAACCCGACTTAAAAACCCTACATTAAACAATGTTACTTGCAAAAATAGTCGAAAATTTTAGGCAACTACTATTTTTTAATAAAAAGACAATATCATACTAAAGATATGTAATACAGGGTGATTCACGAGTAATAATGAGCCTGACCAAATTCTCGATGCAACCAACATTACAGTTGTCGCAAAATAACTTCCGAAAACTAATGGTGGTTGCATCGAGAATTTGGTCAGGCTCATTATTCCTCATGAATCACCTTGTATAAAAGAACAGTCTAGTTGAAAAACATTTCATGTTAAAGTAACACGAAAAAACACTTAAAAAGACATAATAGGTATTGTTACTAGAAAAAAACTGCATTCGAGGTTTAATTAAATTTTTTGGTATAAAAAAAATAATTTTGATTATTAGAAGGCTAGAAAAAGTAAGAACAGGTTGTAAAAAATTAAATTCTATTTAAAAAGTTAATTAAAATTTAATTGACAAATTTCTTCAATTTTTCTTGTTTATCAGTTTATCACTGTATGTAATACCTTACTTTCCCATAAATTTCTGATTGAAGTGTCTTATGACTTTGAGAGTAAGTTAAGTTGATAACAAATCAAATTCAAACGTCACAGTTATAGTCAATTGTCATTCATATTCGTTATCAACTTATCACCAATAATTCGGTGTTGCCAACTTAATTACAAAGTCATTTTAATTGAAAATGTATTTGAAGTTATTTAATTATACAGAGTGTTCCGTTTTTATTGTTAACTTTAAACATGTGATAAAATTTTTAATTTTTAGACAAAAGTTTTCGATATAGAAGAATACTATGTAAGAGAGCTACACCTCCTGAAAGAGGTGCATTTTTAATGAGTTTTTTCTTTCGAATATTTCCGAAACTGTTTTAGATAAAATTACAAAATTGGTACAGCTGATAACCTAAACGAATTAAAAAAAAATGGCAAAATTATTATTAATCACGGGCGTCCGAAACTGGAAGGAACAAGGTAAAAAGTACCCTACATGACTGTAGTTTTTTGACACTTTCAGTAACGAAATCCTAAATTTCATACTTCCTTACAAAAAATAGATCTCTTGCCTTTTTTCGATACAACTTACCGTTTTTGAGTAAAATCAACTTAAAATTTATGTTTGAGACAATTAAAATTTAAAATTAAATTCTTTTTACCCTATACCCTCCCAGTTTAGTACGCGCCTAATTAGAAATTTCAACATTTGATCTTTGAATTCATTTAGGTTTATAAAGGTTATTGGTTGTACCAAATTTTGTAATTTTATCTATTTTGAAATATTGAAAAAAAAAAAAACATTAAAAAAGTGCCCCTTTTCAGGGGTGTATCTTCCTTACATAATATTTTTTGATATCTGTTTATACAAAACTTTTGTCCAAATAAATAAAACGAAACTACAATTTTTGACTCCGTCTTATAACTTGCGACAAACATAAAAGAAATTTGCAGATCTCTGTATCAAGATAATAATTGATTGGTGTGAACAAAAGTCCAACTTTTAATAATTTATATTAATCAAAAATTTTATTTTCACTACATTATTGCAAAAAGTAAAAATGGAGTTAACTTGAAACGTGAATATACCTAGAACACATACAGAGTGCGCCAGAACTCTGAGAAAAATGCCATATAAGATACAGGAACACGGAAAAAATGTAAAAAAAAAAATATCTATAAAAATTTCAAAGTTATGAGAGTTTAAATTTTGCACTTTGAGTCTATTTACTTCTGTTGAAAAAATAATTTTCCAAGTTTTTTTGCTACAGGCTATTAGAAAAGAAACAAGTAAGCTGTATCTTAAATTGTAACCCTGTTTAATGTTATTTATGGCTTTTATTGGCAATTTTTTTACCTTTACTAAATAATTGTAATAAAATATATACAAGATCATCAGTATCATCAAATAGGCATAAAAAATGTCAAATGTCAAAAAATACATGTCAAAATTTTTTGACAGAGAATTTCTTAAATATTTTTTCCATGTTGCTGGTATCTTATCTTACTTAAAATTTTTCGCTAGGGCGCGAGTTCTGCCGCACTCTGTATAGATATTTTATAGGTCACACAGATTTTCATGAAATATTGATTTGACAAAGTAATAAATTAAATCAACATTTAAATCGCTCTTGTTCGCTTTCAACTAGTATCATACACATGTTTATTTTTTCATTTTTAATCCTTGAATATACTACAAAGCGTTGTCAAAACGAACAAAACAG